ATGTGCAGAGGGTTTACTATTTACATTATTCGAACTATTGTCTTCATCTTTGTTGCCATATTTATCACAACGTTTCAGCCGTTATACGCTCCGGCCTTCTTCAGGTGGTTGGAATGTCGAACTGAACCCTTTATTTCGTTCGCTGGGGTAGACTGTTCTAGTTCTACGTGCCATGTCTAATGGATGCCAGTTATCAGTTATCTCCTGTTAATTCCTCCACCCCAAGTTCTCTACTAACTTAACTCTTTGGTTCCTGTCACTTGATCGAACTAACGCCTTTATCCACTGTGCCATGTGATAAATATGGTAAGAAAGATGAGGACAATAGTCCGAATAATGTAAATAGTGTACATAATACCTCATCTCAGAAATATAGACAGATACTGAAGGGTGGAAACGTTGTAATAAATATGGCGACAAAGATGAGGACAATAGTCCGAATAATGTAAATAGTGTACATAATACCTCATCTCAGAAATATAGACAGATACTGAAGGGCCGAAACGTTGTAATAAATATGGCGACAAAGATGAGACCAATAGTTCGAATAATGTAAATAGTGTACATAATACCTCATCTCAGAAATATAGACAGATACTGAAGGGCCGAAACGTTGTAATAAATATGGCGACAAAGATGAGAACAATAGTTCGAATAATGTAAATAGTGTACATAATACCTCATCTCAGAAATATAGACAGATACTGAAGGGCCGAAACGTTGTAATAAATATGGCGACAAAGATGAGAACAATAGTTCGAATAATGTAAATAGTGTACATAATACCTCATCTCAGAAATATAGACAGATACTGAAGGGCCGAAACGTTGTAATAAATATGGCGACAAAGATGAGAACAATAGTTCGAATAATGTAAATAGTGTACATAATACCTCATCTCAGAAATATAGACAGATACTGAAGGGCCGAAACGTTGTAATAAATATGGCGACAAAGATGAGAACAATAGTTCGAATAATGTAAATAGTGTACATAATACCTCATCTCAGAAATATAGACAGATACTGAAGGGCGGAATTGTTGTAATAAATATGGCGAGAAAGATGAGGGCAATAGTCCGAATAATGTAAATAGTGTACATAATACCTCATCTCAGAAATATAGACAGATACTGAAGGGTGGAAACGTTGTAATAAATATGGCGACAAAGATGAGAACAATAGTTCGAATAATGTAAATAGTGTACATAATACCTCATCTCAGAAATATAGACAGATACTGAAGGGCCGAAACGTTGTAATAAATATGGCGACAAAGATGAGAACAATAGTTCGAATAATGTAAATAGTGTACATAATACCTCATCTCAGAAATATAGACAGATACTGAAGGGCCGAAACGTTGTAATAAATATGGCGACAAAGATGAGAACAATAGTTCGAATAATGTAAATAGTGTACATAATACCTCAGCTCAGAAATATAGACAGATACTGAAGGGCCGAAACGTTGTAATAAATATGGCGACAAAGATGAGAACAATAGTTCGAATAATGTAAATAGTGTACATAATACCTCAGCTCAGAAATATAGACAGATACTGAAGGGCGGAATTGTTGTAATAAATATGGCGAGAAAGATGAGGACAATAGTCCGAATAATATAAATAGTGTACATAATACCTCATCTCAGAAATATAGACAGATACTGAAGGGTGGAAACGTTGTAATAAATATGGCGACAAAGATGAGAACAATAGTTCGAATAATGTAAATAGTGTACATAATACCTCATCTCAGAAATATAGACAGATACTGAAGGGGCCGAAACGTTGTAATAAATATGGCGACAAAGATGAGAACAATAGTTCGAATAATGTAAATAGTGTACATAATACCTCATCTCAGAAATATAGACAGATACTGAAGGGCCGAAACGTTGTAATAAATATGGCGACAAAGATGAGAACAATAGTTCGAATAATGTAAATAGTGTACATAATACCTCAGCTCAGAAATATAGACAGATACTGAAGGGCCGAAACGTTGTAATAAATATGGCGACAAAGATGAGAACAATAGTTCGAATAATGTAAATAGTGTACATAATACCTCAGCTCAGAAATATAGACAGATACTGAAGGGCGGAATTGTTGTAATAAATATGGCGAGAAAGATGAGGACAATAGTCCGAATAATGTAAATAGTGTACATAATACCTAATCTCAGAAATATAGACAGATAGTGTAGAGGGTTGTTAGTTTTTTTTGTGGGGGTGGGGTTAAGGATTAGTTTTGAAAGTTACATCTAGATACACAGGAACAATCTCAATGAGATGGCGTTTGAGCAGCAGACTATTTTACTCGACCTGAAAATATTTTTAAAATGGGTCCCACCTGCAATATTATGCGCTGCTTTTATCAAAACTCGTCATCATTTGGCTGTGATGCATGTGGATGGTATGGACTTATCAGATTGGGTGTCATGATGACTATATTGGCCACTGTCTATTTGTGCCCCAGCGTCACTTGGCGTGCTACCCTGGTTATTTTGTACTTCTTCTTGGGGCACCCCGACGTGGTGTAATGGTTGACAAGCTGACTGAATAGTGAATTCGCTGGATGCTCCATACTTTCGGCCTTGTGTCACATATAAGTTACCCTTAGAAAGTCACCATATTTTAATTCTGCTTCTTCTCCCGCTTATAGTTTAAACCCCGCCATTACCTTAAGGAAATAATGGACTATTCTGTTTTGATTGCGAAGAAAGTCGCAAGGAAAAGATATGTTAATGAGGCTACTTGGTTTTAGGGAAAAGAAAAGAAAGAAAGAAAGAAAGAAAGAAAGAAAGAAAGAAAGAAAGGAAGGAAGGAAGGAAGGAAGGAAGGAAGGAAGGAAGGAAGGAAAGATAACACTCTCGTCCGTTAAATGTCTGCTTCGGTGAAATGAAAAAATCTTATCAATTTTGAATCATTTTCTTCCGATTCACACTCCTCCCCGGTCTTTTGAACAGGAGTAGAGGTTTATCCCTTGTTTACTGTTTAAGATTGGGTTTCCGATTCCTTCTAAAGTCTGCTTCAGCTCTATACTCCTAAAGCTTGTTCTTTCATACGCTAATATATGTCCACACTGTATCCCTCTAACTTGAGTGGCTCTTAGGCCTTATATTATGTGAACATTAGTAAAAAAAAAAAATTAAATTAAAAAGAAAATGTATCCTCTGCATTTATACTTAGGATTTTTATTGCAATATTTTATTAAAATCAAATATTTAATGATAGAATAGGGGAAATTGACTAATTTATATCGTAGGCATGGAACTCACATACAGATTATTCAATTATTAATTATGATTACATTTTTTATCCTGTTGTTCACCTAATACAAGGGCTAAGGGTCGCTCAAAATAGGGAGTTATTGAATAAAATGTTGTTGAATGTCAAGAGAGGAGGTAAGAAGTGTCTATTATAAGGATATGTAGGATGGATAAAAGGTGAACGTAGATTTGAATAGATTAAATTTGTAGTGGTTCAGGAAGTATCCTCTTGGAAGTCTGTTCTACAAAATGACAGTTCTGAGGAAGAAGCTGTCTGCGTTGACCTTCCTTCTTACCAATGAAATATGAAAGGAATTAGAAGGACTTCACCTCGTGTAGGTGGCAGGATTAGAAGATGCTGTGAAGGTCTGAATAGGAGAAACTAAAGAATGTAGCACGTCTGAATATTTGCCATAGAAATAGCGATAGAGTAGCAAAAGTCTAGCAACGTTTCGTCTGTTTGAAAGGTTTTGCGGGGTAAGGAAGAAATCAAGGCTACGTAATCACTTTTGAACTCTGTCAAGGCTGGACATTGAATATTGGACACCACTAGTTCAGATGTGGTAACAATACTCCATTTTATGGTTGATCTGACGCTTGTAAATTTAGAGCATGATAGCAGGAGTCAGATACTTTCTGGAGCGGAACAAGGAACCGACCATTCTACCATATATTAACGATGGTCTGAATATACGAGTTCCACTTAAGGTCTGGGGTGAGTTTCTGTCTATTGTTCGAGACAAGGAACCTCATTAATAGTGTTACCGATCATCAGGGCTGGAGTAAATTTACTTTCTGTTTGGTGATGATGAAAAGATTTTAATTATGTTTTAGAGGTAATGTATTGTATTGTTTTTCCCTTTTAAGCTGTGAGAGCTCGGTCAGTAGAGAGGTCAGCTGCTATGCTCTGTTCATCTAGATTTTTTAAGGTGCACCCATAAAGCGTGGTATCATCTACATGTATATTTACTAAAGATCTTGCCTCCGGAACTTGGAACTCGGCTTGCTCCGGGCTAAGTAACAGTCTAACACTCTGCTTTCGGGAGGAGAGGAACCCGGACGAGGCTCCGCCGAAGGGCAGAGTCTCGTTCGGGGTGGTTGACTGCCCTTGAACCCGTTTATGCGGGTTCAAAGAGGGTATATTTTTGGCCGAGCCTACGGGCTCGGAAATCCCACATTAAACCAAGCCTTGTGCCACATGTAACCCTCGTGGCGGGGGGGGGGGAGTAACTAAATATCACTAAAGATCTGTAAACGTTCTTAGACAGATGGTTAGTCAAAAAAATTTCTTTTTCTTCTTCTACTACTACTACTAAGAAGAAGAGGGGTTACTTAATGTAACCCCGCTAAGAATAGTTTTCAAACTTATTTATTAATATCAGTTGATAGATTAAATCGTTTTCTACGGCTTATCAACCCTTTGCAGTTTATTAAACGCCAGAAAATATTTTTAGATATAAGGATTTAGTGATGCAAGTTTAACTGATTAACCCAATTAATCCGGGTGGAGAAGAGGTGGATCCATACTTTTCCCAAAGGTATTTGCGCGAAAGTGAATTTTACGAACCCAACGGGAATTGGAACTCGGCTCTCCGATTAACGATTCCAAACCATTATCCATTACTCCACCCGCACATCCACGTGAAACTAACGAGAATTGGAAATCGGAGAGGCAAGTTTCAATTCCGAGCTGTTATCCAGTACACCACCCACTCATAAAATCTTAAAGCGGTCACCCATCTAAGCACTGACCAGTCTCCACGTTGCTTAACTTCGGTGATCGTAAGAGAACCGGTGTTTCAACGTGATATGCCTGTAAGCCCTTATTAATATTAATAATTTTTATTTTGCCTACCTTAAAAAGAAAAAAAAACTGAAAAACCAATCTATTTTAGTAGACTTTTTATTTTATTGATGAAATCAAAACTTTGCTTCAATTTTTGACAGGATTAATTACTAATATGATACATTAATCTATTTGGATTAGTTTTTCTCATTTCGCTTGTTAATGTTAAAACGTTTAGGTCGGTCTTCTCGTATCTCTCTCATTCTGTAACTTTCTAGGAAGTTCTGTCAAAACAATTCAACTGACTTGGCAAGATACTTTTCATTTTGCCATCCAAACTAAGAGATAAATTATCTCTGATTTTTCCCTTTCTCCATTTCTTTTGCAAGAGCAAGAGATTTTACTCAGGGACTGAACCCACAACCACAAAGTAACCAAATGAAATAAAAACCAAGATTATTCTAAATGGTTAATTTATTCGCTAACGAAATAAATATTATCCTTTTTTTTTCTATCGTTGTAGGGAAACTTTCATATTTACTTATACAAGAACGGGAAAAAAACTGATCTGGTTAACTTAACTTTATTTGTCTCTTTAATTACGCACTCTTCTTTTTTTCTGATTTGCATATACATTTTTGAGGAAAAAATATTACCAGAAATAGATTTTTGACAAAACACAATATTACCAGAAAAAAAAAAGTTGTCGGCATTAAATAACCCATCGAGGTTAATATGCTGTAAAACACAACAAACCAGACCAAACCAAATGCAGGATATCTACCAACCGCTTCACGCGGCACAAAACCGAATTTAATGTGGGGTATAGTCTCGTCCAAAAATTTTCCGTAGATCCAGTATAAAACGGGGCCAGGTAGCTGTTTCCCGAAACGAGACTCTGCCCTTCGACATAGCCTCGTCTGGGGATCCTCTCCGCTCGGAGGTAGAGAGTTTGACCAGCACAGCTGGAGACGAATCTGCAGACCAACATACAGTATTTACTACTGTATTTATGTGAATGGGGACATACCCATTATTGTCCGTAGGTATGCTACAACAAACAGACTGCCGCCACAATACATATAACTGAAAAAAGCACATGAAATAATTTCAACTTGCAAATAAAAGTTTCACGATCGTGGGGCAACTGAATTGAGAAGCCAGTTTATTGTATAAAAATACAGACACACATGTAACATTCATCAGTCAGTGAATTGAATGGAGGTCAATTTATTTTTATGTTCATATTTGGGGATCACTTCCGATGTTTTTTTTTAATCACCTGCTCTTTAGGGAACGCAACTTTATATAAGTTTGCTTTTGATCATTCCAAGGAAGTAAATGATTTCATTTGTGGTTTTCATCTGGTTTTAACATTAGACAATCAAATTATTTGATAGATTATTTGATAGATATTACTGGTAAGCAGACTTGACGAAATAAACAGTCAGTACTAATAACAAAGACAAATGTGCGACCTTTGGCAGGATTCCTACCTGCGTCTACCTTGGCAGAAAAACCGTGGTTAGATCCGATTTGCTTATACTGACTCAGTCACGATTTTGCTTATACCGACTCAGTCACATTGCCAATTATGCAAGGCTGAATGCCTTTAAGCGAAATCCTTCTTGTCATATACTCTCGAAATTCCATATCTGATAAGTTTCGTATTCAAACGTAAACAAAACAATTTCTAAAGAAGTAATGGATTTTTCATTTATTAATCCGACAGATTTTTATCATTTAAACGTTATTTTTAGCTTATTTTGTTTACGTTTGGATATGAAACTGAGCAGATATGTACCTATTATATAGAGCCCACGAATTGAGTAGTGACACTTCGTCTGAAGGCCACATTGAGACGTAAAATTGATAGTGATCGTGAAGTTTTAATTACTCTGTCCACACTTTCTATCTATCTATCTATCTATCTATCTATCTATCTATCTATCTTAGACTGTTCATGATCTATCTATCTATCTTAGACTGTTCATGATCTATCTATCTATCTATCTATCTATCTATCTATCTATCTATCTATCTATCTATCCAAACTTGGCTTAGTTTAGTCTGAGACAGGCCCGCAGGAGTGAGTCATTCATAGAAAGTCGAGATGAACTGGGCAGTGCTCCGTCACTTTACAACTGACATTTCAATCACATCAATGTGACAATGACGAATGAATGGATTTTCCCGCTTCCATCTAATTGGTCGGAATATGTTTTGAGAAAACAATAAGGCGCTTTTCATGCCAACAATTATATGCAGATGTTTCCGGGATGCGGTTGATTTGCTGGTTGTGTTCTAACTGTAAACATGCGAATTACTAGACTGGAATACAGATTTGCACATATCCTGGTCTTTGACCAACGACTGACGTCGCATTTTTATTTGATTCTATTCTGAGATGAGAATTCCTTTGTAACATGGTAATATTTTTTAAAACATGTATTGCTCGTAATATTTTTTTTCAAAAATATATTACTGGTAATAGTTTTTTTTTTTGTTTTTTTTTTTAATTATTTCTGGTAATAATTTTTTACAAAATATTTCTGGTATCAAAACCTATTTTACACTTTTATAATGCTTTTTACCTCAGTTTCGGAGGGTTAACTATTTGCCTATAGCTGGGACACTAACAGGTGCTACCAACCGAGGTCAGGGTGGATCTGGGAACACCAGCAATTAAGAGGTAGTTCCATGCTCCCCAAAACCTCCTGATCAGAGGCCTCGCTGTTGGACGTAGTTTATAACCTTATCCTGGACGCGGATGTAGTTTATCGTCATTCCCAGGACTGATGTCCTGGAGTTGAAGATTCATTGTGGAATTCACTTGACTCACTTCTAGCAGTTGACTACTTCTTCTACTCGCCGCTGGTGAATCTTCTATGTGTTGTTCTTGTCCTAAGTATTATCGTTCATTGCCAACCTATTGCCAATTCTATTCAGTAATCTTCCCTAGGTTACAACATTGTTTCATGCTTAAACGCAATCTTCAGGCTTGATGATTGCGTTTAAGCATGACCTCATTGTCTACTCATATTTATATACGCTCTATCTCTGATATTGAGCACTTTAACCCATAAATAGTTTGTTATGTGCCGTGTCCCGTCAGGACGTAGGCAATAAAGTCTTTCCACAATTTAATTGATTTATGACAAGAAACATAGTCTTGTACTGTGCACTGAAATTAGTACACTATATTGGTCATCACAAGTTTAGATTTGATGAGGTTATTTTGATTATTAACTACAAGGTTTACAGTTTTCCATTTTCTATAATATATTCTAATTTTACACGTTTTTCGGGAATTACAACAGAAATATGATGTTTAATAATTTTTCATATAGCAAATTTGCCTTGCCTATGATTATTCTACATCTGGTTACTGTAAAATATGTTGATGCTTTGTCATATTTTTGTTAATGATATCGTGTATTTTTTCGTAAGAATAATTTTATTTGTTTATCAGTGATGTAGTCGGGAAAATTATTGTTGACTGATGTTTGTTTTACGTCTAGTTCACTCAGAAATATTCTTTGGGAAGGGGAATTTAGGTATGCTCTATTTAGGACTGTTTCTTGTCACAAATCAATACCTATATCGGACATACAACCACCTCCTTAAGTAGACGCCTCACATGTCACTTGTCAGGGTAAAGCAGCATAAAAAGAGATTTATCAACCCATAATCTGCAAGACCCCTTAAGAAAGATACTGGTCGAAAACATTACAGTTCTTTGTTAAGCAAATTTCCGGAAACATCTCATAAAAGAGGTCCTGTACATCGGCTTTCCTTCACCATCAACATTATCTTGTTTAACAATGGTAAATGAGCGCTGAAAGTCTTTTTAAAGTAGAATGTCGCTCACTCGAATTCTAGCCATGCCCAACACACGATGGCTCAGAATTAAGCTCCTACTATAATTCAGAAATGATGTACGGATAATGCATCTCTCACAGCCAAAACATGAATATAAATTAACAACACCAAAAACAACCACCTTCAAAATGGCTGAAGAAGTGAGCAAAAGCGCTTGGAACTATCGACGATATGGACAGTTTTTCTACTCGCTCACTCCTCGCTCAACCACAAGATTAGACTATTGCTTTCCAAAGTAACTAATAACGATACTGAACACACAGACAAAAACAATAATATTAACATCTTCTACAAAAACCAAATATAAGTCAACTATAAGCTAGATGAATATTCACTTAGAAATATCATAAAGAAATACACTAACCCTGTCGACCCGAACGAGAAAATTAAATTAGCTATTACAAAAAATTTAAAACAGCTAACCTTATCATCAAAATAACAATAAACCTAGAAAGAACGAACATTATTTACGAGTTCAAATGTCCCTTAAGGAAGTGTGTTCCCGATCAAACCAAATTCATAAAAATTACAACGGTTACACTACCACATGCCTATCTAGACGACTTATGTTACACCTATCAGACCACAGCTCTATTAGAACTCATTTAAACGCACACAAAACCTACCAGACTCCATCGGAAACATACTAGTAGAAAATGCACGCATAATAACCTCATCCACATTTTAAAAAGATTAAAAATAATGGAAGCCTTAATAATAAAAAAGAAAAAGCCAACAGTCAATAACATTAACTAAGAACAGGGCCACAATATACAGAACGTGTTTAGAAAATAAAACATCCCTATAACTCTAGATACATACATAACACAACTCATATGTTCAGCTAAAAGTAAAATAAAATCATCCTTGATAGCGGCTAAAAGTATGGAAGAAAGATCTCGGAAATGTAGAACTTTTGAACAGTTTTTACACACTTTGTGTCCAGAAAAGCAAACACCTGTTCGAACACAAGAAAAATTAAATAGAAAGCTGAAACATGCATAATATATGCGTGTGCGTTTGTGTGCGCGCGTTTGTGTGTATAAGTGCGTGTGTGTGTGTTAGCAGTTATATAATGATTGACTACTTATTTTATATTTGCCCGTCTTTTAAGGTAGTTAGACAATCCCTGTTGCCCACACGTACTCAGAACTAGCCAGTGATTTATTTTGTAATTTTGATAAGTTAACAGTTGCGTCTACTCAATTTCCCTCAAGTGGGTTGGGCAAACTCTTATTATGGTTTTCACGCTCTTCCCAAATATACTGCATGCTGCTCGATATTATCAAAAAAGTCAACTTTACAAATAAAAAATGGTGGATACAAAGCCGGGTCTCATTGCCGGAACGCTAACACTCGGCCATATCTATATATATATATATATACTGCCAGTTTTGATCAAAAGCAAGTTTTGTATTGATGCCTAGTATCTGACTAAGCAAAGTTTAGTAATTACCTTGAAGTACACTTCCCTGTGCAGTACTTGCTAACGAGTATGTTGCTCGAAATTTTGATACATCCAATCAACCATTTGATATAATACAATCAATTTATTCGCTGCGCTTCTGTTTCCAATTCCAGTTTGATATATCTGCGTGAGTCCGCTGTTGAACATGCTTTTTCACTTTACAGCAATTTGTCAACATTTTTTTTCTGGCCGCGTGACATGGCGTACACGTCTTCCCAATTTTCAGCCCATAACCAGTCTCCGTGAGTGGGCGGAATTCGGTGACAAAAAGAAGTGTCACTTTGCAGCGATTCAAGCAGAACGGAACTAAACAAAACACTCATCTCGACTTTGTGAAGGCACTTAATTAAATGAAAACACAAACACCCTGAATTTAATTGGCTTGGTTCTTATATCCCCCGAGTAAAACATCAAATTTGAACCTGAAAAGTCTATTGTTTAAGATGTCAACTGTTTATTTCTTTGTTTTATTATTATTGTTTTATTTCCTTAGGTTTCTGGTATTACTCATTTCTTTCCGGGTCCCGACCAGAGACCTAAGGTCAGAAATGGCATCATCACATTTTCCACTGAGCAGTTTCGAAAAAAAAATCGGACATATTTTATATAGATTAATCCCTTCGTAAGGTGTGGGCTGTACTTGTGAGTACATTTTTTTGTATTTCTTTAAGGCATAGGCTATCTGGGATTCCTTCACTTAGTCTATTGGAACCTTTTCCAATCAATCAGAGGAGGGCTCCAACCACAATTGGAATTGTTAATTCAAGTTGGAGTTGGCAATTCCAGTTGTAGTTGGAGCCTTGTTATTATTATTATTATTATTATTATTATTATCTGAGGTTCACCCTGTATAAGACCCGGGAGCCATTCGAAGTAGAGGGCTACAGTAAAGGGTGGGAGGAGAAGATAAGCGGTTAACCCTAGACTTGAATAGAATAAGATTGTAGTGGTTGGGAAAACATCCCCTTAGGAATCGGTTCGTGAAGAAGTTGTTCGAGTGGAACTTACTACTCACCAATGTGGGTGGTTTGCTACAATGTGGGTGGTACGGCGGGTACTGGCCGTGAATGTTCTAACTGGCGGATCCAAGGAATGCGGTTTGTCCAAAACACTTTCCATGGAAGTAGCGAAAGAACAGTGAAAGGCTTACCACGTCCCGCCTGTAAAAGAGAGAGGTTGGAGGGTAGAAAACAATTTGTCACCGACAAGGACTCTGAGAAGCTTTTGAACTCTATCGAGACTGGAAAGTGAGGACTGGGCAGCTCTCGCCCAAATATGACAACAGAATTCCATGATCTGACTCTTGTAATGGTAGAGGATAGCAGGAGGAGTCAGGTACTTACTGGAGCGGTACAGAGAACAGACCATTTTCATGTATCTTTTGCGATGGATCGTACGAGTTCCACTTGAGGTCAGGAGTGAGTTTAAGGCCTAATAGTCTCTCGAGACATGGGGCCACCTCGAGTGTGAGGTATCCATTCATCTAGACTTGTGGTAGTTCGAGGTCCGATCGGTGATCGCTTGTCTGCTACAGCAGATTTGTTGGTGACCTCTAGGTGGTATTGCTAAAAGCAGTATATAAGAAAAAAGCTAATTCTCTTTCTTCTTTTCAGGGTGTGTTAGAAATAGGACGAGTCCCGTGAATACTGGAGGACTTTTAGTCTGCAACGAACCACAGGTCGCATTGAATAAAACGTTGCATAGCATGCAAATGCCTTAAACATACTTGACTACTGTTATACGTGTTTGACAGACAAGAAAGAGAAAAGGATTGCCGGAGTTTAAGCGGGACGTTTGACCTGTGAGAAGAGTAGAATAGATAACAAATATTTATGTCTGTTGCTAGCTTCATCTTTATTTCCGGTTCCCTTTTCCGGAAGTGTTTCACGGTAGGGCCTTTTACACCAAGGGAGTTAATTATATAAACATTGTTTATGGAGTTAAAAGAAGCTGAATATGCAGACAGTGACTGCTTAATATATATGTTATGAATAATCAAGAGTGGTCTCCCCTTGTTTTGTTACTCTCCTCTTTGGGAAAGCTATTTCTGTTTACTGGGACTATAAAAGGACACTATACTCGAACCTTGTATTCTCAGTTGAATAAAGCTTTCTTAATGCCTACACCTGTGTACTTTTGTCATTACAATATGTATACAATATACATATACAACAACTACACACAGGCATACTTAATAATGCTACCAAAGAACTCTTCGCAAAATGTAAGTTTCTCATACTTTCATAGGAACTTCTCACATATGCATCCACGAATAAAGACATCCCTATGTGCAAACCTTTGTTCTTTTCTTTTCGTGTTCTTTCTATTTAGTTTGCTTAGGCAATAAAATATGGTGTTGTTAAATGTACATAACTGTTTACGTATTCATTCTTATAGTTTCTTGTTTGGAGGAACACGTCTACTATTATTACTCTATACTATATCAACAACAATATGTCTCTTCAACAATTGGTAGTCCGTCTGCAAATCTTTTAATCGTTCTGTTTCTACTAACAAATAAATAAATAAATAAAAGCTGGTACACACTAAAAATAATATGGAGAAAAAATCATTAATTTAAAGTATTGGGTTGGCCAAAAGTTCATTAGGTTTATTAAATAGATTTTCTCCTTAACAAATGATATAATTTTTTGGTCAACCAAATAGAAAGAAAAAGAATCTTATTTCCAAATGAAACAAAAATCTTTTTTCACTGAATCGGTATTTTATTTACTTATCTTAATCAGACATGCAACTAAAATATCACGAAATCCGATGCGGATCGAAACAACCACTCATAGTTTCGAGAGTAAATCTATTAGTAAATGCTCTACAACTAACGCCAATGGTCATATGGATATTAGTAAAATCCACGTTAATCCCGAAATATGAATCAATTGCTTTGTGTAATCACGACCATTCGTTTTTTTGTTTTTTGTTTTTTTTTGTTTTTTTGTTTTTTTGTTGCATTATTTTGTATTGATCGCTAAGTGAGAGCAATCACAAATAACGCTTATGAATAGTTTTGATTTTTGTAAAAAATGGTAACTCTAGAATCGATTTTCAACTCTCTTGAAATTGTTATAGCAAAGGTTTTAAGCGACAAGACAGGATATGTGCCACCCAACACTTTTGAAATGCTTTGATTGTTGGTTTCTAGTTAATAACTATATTTTTTTAATGTTATGTTTCTTCAGAAGGTACGCGATCATGGCCTTCCACAGATTCCTTTTTATTAACTATGAATTGCTATAAATTCTTGGGAATTATAGTATACTGGCTGTCTGTTGCCTTCTCTGAGGTTTGGAATTCAGAGTTTTCCTTCTCTTAGAATGGTTGCCACCCAATGCTAGAGAACCTTGATTCATTGATTTGTTTTCTACGGGTTATCACCCTTTGCGGGTTATATAAAGCCAGAAAATAGTTTTAGATTGTAAGAATTTTCTTTTTCTTTGGGGGTGATAATAATGGTTTAACGATAAAAATCTTACTAATTAATCCATAGCTGAGGGAGATGAGGTGGTTTCAAACCTTTCAGAATGTATATTCACGTAAGTGAATATAACGAACACAACGGGAATTAGAACACGGCTCATCAATTAACCACATTAGCCATTATCTATTACAACACGCGTCCATTCAAACTTACAACACCTAGTATTCTCAAGCAATCACTCATCTAGTTACTGACCAGGTTCGACGTGGCTTAACTTCGGTGATCGTACGGGAACAGGTGTTTCATCATGATGTGGCCGTAAACCAAGAGAAGCCCTGATTTGCTTGATATTTAACCCATAGGTGGAGAAGAAGAAACATGAATCATGTCATTCACAAGGGCATATGTGCGAAAGTGAACGCAACAGAATAGCCCGGAATGTGAACTCGGATCATCGATTCCATTTCCTATTCCGATATCTATTACACAAACCACACATTCAACAATAATTTGGAGAAGTAATTATTGGCTTATCCAGGACTAAAATAAGGTCACAATATAAGAAATGTAACATTGAACTAATGAAGTGTGGATATGCTTACATCACTTATTTCTGTATTTATACCATCCAGTATTGTTTAAATTCATTTAACTAGAATAATCTTTTAAGCATGCATGTTTCGAAACTCGACTTTTACTTGAGAAGTAAGTCAATTGCGGTGGATATGAATTAGGAAACAGAATGATAAAACATTACTTAAGTTTATAGAGAATAAAGTTTATTTTAAGATGATTAATGAAAGAATTGGTTAATCTCTTTCATATTTAGCAGTATTCGACGGTAACATTTCAAAAGTACATCAAAAAGGACATTAAAAAAACAGATCACTGAATAGTATAAACTGTAAAAACATCCTCAGAAATTATAAGTTTGGTTCAATGATTCTAAAACAAGACACGTCTGACTGGTTTATTTTAATCATTTCACTCCTAGCAAGGCAATAAAGCCACTAATACGCAAGAGGTTACTAAGAGTGAAAGAAAATGAGAAAACGTTGGTGAGGAGATAGGGCAATAAAAAACAGGATTTAAAAAGACAGAAGATGATGATTGACGTAACATTTTTTAAAGATCAATGTTAACAGGGGAACCTGAATTCGAAAAGTTTTCGATGTTGTGATAACCTGTTTTTGAAACTAGTTCCTTCACTCTGGTGGGTTAGTAGTTTTATCGCTCTGCTTGGGGTTAAATGATTTTAAAAAACTCAGAATCTAGTGTCTTGTTTTAGAACCATTGAACCAAATCTATAAATTTGAAGATGTTTTAACAGTTAAAAGTATTCAGGGATCAGTGCTGATTTTTAAAATACGTAAATGTGATGGGGGTTCAATGAATGACAAGAATAAAGGTAAAGTAGAAATGAAATGAAAGACTTAAAAACCTATTTGATATTATAAATATTTACCCTGGCTTCCCTACTGAGACGGGATGTGACACAAGGTCGGTTTTAATGCTGGGAACCCGAGCGTGTACAAGAACACAAATTCCCCGAGCCCCTTCAACCGCCTGTTGCGCTGGCCTCGGTGCGAGCACCGATTCCTCTCTCTCTCCTGCAATGAGTGGGTGCAGCCTCAGGCATCTGTTCCTCACAGTGTGATTTTCCTCTGTTCTCCGACGGAGTCACAACTGAATCATATTCTACCCGAAGACAGAGGCGCAACTGAGAGGTGATAAAACCCTACCCGGCATATGATAGTAAAACACTATTGGTAGCTTTCAAATCTATCTTATATAAAGACTGTGACAAAGCACATAGAAACCTGATTTGTAAATCATTAGTAATCTTACCAAATCAAAAATAGTGCAAACGTTCAACATAGTTCGAATATTAAAAACTAAAAAAAAAAAAGGTATTTGAATTCAAGTTTGATTAAAGATATTTCGAAAAAAAAACAAAAACTGATAGGCTTATCAGATAAATATCAAATGTGTTTCGGTTGCCGTCTTCATGATTTTATCGCTCATCATCCATCATCATCATGCACATTTTGGTTTGAAGCTTCATTAGATTGACACTTTGCCCATAATTTTCTCATTGAATTTTTGTATATTTTAACATTTCATTACGTATCACTAAATAATAAAAATAAGAAAGGATAAAAATGTCAATAAACAATATGGAAACGAAAGATGCAAATCAGTCCAGATCGAATCTATGGCTTTCGAATCCAATTAATTCAATTAAATCGAATGAAGGACAATAGTTTAGTGGATAAAAGCTTTGATTCGTGAATTTGGTAATTGTGAGTTCATTCACTGAGCCGGGCAGCGTGTACTTGGACTCAGTGGAAACGGGTCGAGTAATAACTGAGCAGTACTAAAAATAAGAAATAACTATGAAAGATATCCCTAAACAAGAGTAGTGGAACGAGAACAGTCTACCCCTGTATATTAAATAAGAATTTAGAGTTTATTGTAGTTAACATAGAACGATATATACCTGATGAAGGCCGGAGGACACAAAAGCCGAAACGTTGTGATAACAACAGAGATGAGGACAATAGTCCGAATGTCAATACTGAAAAACGATTTGCATAAGTTTATGCAGCAATACAAAGAAATGATGGCTTGGCCATGATCGCTGGCAAACTGACAGCAAAATAAGCAAAAATATAGCATGAATTCAAGATAAGGAAACTTTTTTCTATTTCAAATGCAAATAGGGAAGGATTTTGGTACGTTAATCTACATAAAATAATCTTTCCAGTAATACCAAACAACTTTAGAATTAATTCCCGGTTCAAACATTCAACGCTCAGATTAATTGACGAATCTTCTTCAATATAAAGCAAGTTCAAAGAACTCTTGTTTTAAAGCAGACATGAGAGGCCGATTTTTGGTAACCAGTCATGTCTAAACGGAAACATCGACCAACTAGTAGAATGTCAACATGGAAGAACAATTTGTTTATTCGCAGAACAATACAGAGGAGAAAAAAAAAACAAAATAGATGGCAGTAGTTCAAGAGGCCGACGGAGCCATTCTATATTTATATAATTAGAACTCTCTTGTACAGCTTTAGACGATTGTCACTTGACTAATAGGTTAATTTGTGCTGTCTCCGGTTTGAGCTTATAAAGTTTTTTTTTCCTTTTTCCTTTTTTCTTTTTTCTTCCGCTTAAAAGTACGTATTCTCTCTCCCCACCTCTTTCTCTTTCTTTCCTCTCTCTTTCTCTCTCTCTTTCTATATATATATATATATATATATATATATATATATATATTAATATGTAACCCTACAAATCAAAACCTACCCACATTTCTCACCCACACAAGACAGACATGCTTACGGAGGTGTTGAGGCCTCACACTTATACACACACACCCACACGAATATACACACTCACTCCCTAATGAGCCAAATGATAACACACACCCACAGTAATATACACGCTTACACATATTATACTCACTCACTCCCTAAGAAACAAATAACACACACACACACACACACACACACACACACACACACACACACACACACACACACACACTTACCAGAGACACATCCCCTCTCCAGGAACCAATAAAACTGTCAAACTGACCAGGGGAATTCAGAGCAGCATGGATCCATCCAGCTCTTATCTCAAATAACAACTTAAAAGAGACTGTTTGATCAACACAAGGAATGTTAAAAAATTCATCTTAAAAAGATAAAAAAAAACAAATGAAAACTAGACAAAAGTTCATTTTCTCCATCAAGACATTCATTTCTGTAGTTCACTGCTACCAGCAAGCAGAAAATTATTTTTCTCCTGATGATGGCCATGTTGTCTGAAACTAGTCGAGGAATCTAAATGAAATAATAATAAAAAAAAACGAAAGAATATTAATCTACAACCCAGTGTCTCTGAAGATTTTAAGTTTTTAATATTCTTTATTGTTCAAAATTTAGGCAGCAATTCTTCCTTTATGCATGTTTCATTAAAAACGACAGACAAGGTACTACGGTTAAGCTTTTTATTTATTTTTTTTTTTTTTGTGTGTGTTCGTACAAAAGCTTTCTTTTCTGGACAAAGGGTGTGTAAGAACTGTCCAAATGTTTTATATTTCCGAGTGCTTTCGGCTATATCTTTAGCCATTATCAAGTATGATTCGATTTTTCAGCTTAATTGAGTGAGTGCGTTCTGTGTATGTCTTAGTGTGTGGTAGGGATATTTTTAATTTCCGAATACGGTTAGACAATGTGGCTTTGTTCGTAGTTTATATTGTTAAGAGTTGGCTTTTTCTTTTTTATTATTAAAGCTTCCATTAATTTTAGTCTTTTTTTGCAGGTGGATGCAGTTAATATATTTGTTTTCTACTAGTATGTTCCTAATGGAATCGGGTAAATCTGTGTGTGTGTTTAAATGGATTCTAATGGAGCTGTGATCAGATAGGTGTAACGTAAGACGTCTGGATAAGCATGTAATTGTGTAACCGATGTAATTATTTATCAGTCCGGTTTGATCAGAAACCCAGTTCCTTAAGGGGCATTTGAACTCATAGATAATGTTCGTTCTTTGTAATTTTGACTTAGGTAAATAACAACACACCAGCTAAGTCAAAATTACAAAGGTCTTGACAGATTTGGGAGACGTCGATGTTTGTGCTAGCAGTAAGTCGTGACAGATTTGGAAGCCGTCGGTGTCTGTGCTAGGACGAGGCCGTAACAGATTTGTGAGACTTCGATGTTTGTGCTAGCACGAGGCCGTGACAGATTTAGGAGCCGTCGGTGTTTGTGCTAGCACGAGGCCGTGACAGATTTGGGAGCCGTCAGTGTTTCTGCTAGCACGAGGCCGTGGCAGATTTGGGAGCCGTCGGTGTTTCTGCTAGCAGTAGGTCGTGACAGATTAGGGAGACCTCGATGTATGTGCTAGCACTAGGTCGTGACAGATTTTGGAGACGTCGGTGTTTGTGCTAGCACGAGGCTGTGTCAGATTTGGGAGACGTCTGTGTTTGTGCTAGCACGAGGCCGTGACAGATTTGGGAGACGTCGGTGTTTCTGCTAACACGAGGCCGTGACAGATTTAGGAGCAGTCGGTTTCTGTGCTAGCACGAGGCCGTGACAGATTTGGGAGACGTCGGTGTTTGTGCTAGCACGAGACCTTGACAGATTTGGATGATGTCGGTGTTTGTGCTATCACTAGGTCGTGACAGATTTGGAACACCTCGATGTTTGCGCTAGCACTAGGTCGTGACGGATTTGGAAGAAGTCAGTGCTTTTTCTAGCACGAGGCTGTGAGAGATTTAGGAGCTGTCGGTGTCTGTGCTAGCACGAGG